ACTGTCCCTCCGCGATAGAGATGCAACGAACGGGTGGAGTCCCTGCCTTCCTGGGCGTAGGTCTAGAGAGGGAGGGGATGAAAACAGGAACGGGTACAGCACCGCACAGGGGCGGGGCGGGGGTGGGGGACAGGGGGCCGCCTCTTGGGAGGGTCTGAATGAGACTGGAGGGAGCCGTGGGAGACCCTGGGAGAAGCGCGTCCTGGGGGAGGGAGCTGCCCGAGCAGAGGACCTGACGAGCGAGTGTGCTTGGCGGCGGGGGCGGCTGGTTGGGGGGCAGCAAGTGGCCCCGTGCCTGGAGCAGGGGAGGGGTGGGAGGGGGAGGGGAGGGGCGAGGCGGGCAGAGAAGCGGATTCCCAGCGTGAACGCGGGCGCGCAGGGGATGGAGGCTTTGGAGACAGCGTCGCGGGCCAGGTGGAATAAAGACCACATGCCCACCTTGGAGGCCTCCTGCTCTGAGGGGTCCGGACCTGCAGGGACCCAGCTGGGTCGAGCTGCCCTGTGAGTCCCCTTGGCTTAGAAGTCCCCGAGGGAGAAGCCCTTGGAGCCGCCGCACCCGCGCACCTGGAACCTGACCTGCCTCATCCGAGGGGCCCTACCCGCGCCCTCTCCCGGCCACACCTGCCCCGGTGGGCTCTTACAGACCAACTGGCTTGGGATCGCGGTCCTAGGGGCTCGGGCACGTCACCATCCCCAGAACCTGGGGTTTCTCTCTTTTACAGTGGTGAGTGCGCCTGGCCTCTCGTGGAATCCCGAGTTCAAAGCAATTGCCTTCAGCACCTCTCCCCTTGGACGCCTCCACCTCGAACCCAGCGTATCCCGAGCCCAACACTCCACAGCCCTGAAACCTGTTCTTCCCCCGCTGTCCCCTTTATCTGGGAACCATCCACGCAGTTCATCAGGTCAGAAGCCTGGGGTCACCCCCAACACAACCGGCACTCGGAAGTCGTCACTCAAGGTTTGTGTCCCGTTTTTTCCGACACCACCTACTCAAGGGCCCTGGAGTCTCTCCTCTTCGCTCCTTCTACCTTGGTCCTGAGGAATCCAGAAAGCATCCTCTCCCTGGGCCACACCTCCAGAGCAGCCTTTTCAGAAGGCACCTCCCCAGGGTCCCTCTCAGTCTACGGGGAAGACACAGGGAGTTTTTAAACCACACACTTCTGATCTCGCCGCCTTGCTTGAAACCCTTCAATATCAGGCTTCCCACTGCTCTTAAGATAATGATCAAAATCCTCAACAAGGTTCCCCTGGTAAGTGCTCTCGAAGTGCCTGTGCAGCATCGCTCCTCATTGTAATGAATTAATCATTGCTCCTAATGCAGTGACTTAATCGTGTGTGAGAGTTGGTTTAATGTCTGTTCTCTACTGGAGTTCAGCTGTCTCTGCTGAATTCTCAGTACCCAGCATGGTGACATGTTTATATGTAGAAAAACAAGCGAATAATAACAGCTAACATTTTGGGTTCTTATTATCTTCCAGGCAGTGAGCTAAGCATTTTGTTTTAACAGCAAGTCCATGAGATGGGTGCTGTCCTCATTGTTCAGGAGAGGAAACTGAAGCACAGAGAGGTTAAGTAACTTGTCCAAGGGTACACAGGAAGGTTTTGACCCAGGCAGTCTGTCTCCCAGGCCATGCTCAGCAATAAACAAAAGGATACATTTCTTCGTTGTGGGAAACATCAGAAAATGCAGAGAATTAAAAAAGAGAAGTCAGTCAAAGGGGACCGCCATTAACATTTTGGCGTATTTCTTCCTAGACTTTTTCCTATGCCTAAATTAGATATAGATTTTAGATGTCTCTACTATTCTGTTGAGCACGATTGGCGACATTCCATAGCACTTTGTAATCTGCTTTTCTCACTGGAAAGTTTAGTGAGACCACCTTCTCAAGGACCCATCTATGATAATATTTTTATTCATATTCCAGGGTATGGCTGAACCATGATTTGCTCAACTCAGCCCCTCTTGTGAACGTTAGGCGCTCGTCCACTTTACCATTTACAAGATTGCGGCAATAAACACTGGGGGAGCTAAGTGGTCCTGCCTGTCTGTACTTATTTCTTGCCATCAGTTCCTTGAGGTGGAGTTGCTGAGGGCAAGGGCACGCAAGGCTTTAAGACCCGGGATGGGTGGTGCCAGAGCCCTCCAGGAAGGGCAGAGGGACCCACACTCCCATTCCGCTGCCTTGCATCACCTGGCACCTCCCACCTGCCTGGGTTTCATCCTTGACATGCAGTTACGTGGAACAGACTTGGAAAATTCGGAAGGAACCATCTTCTCTCTCCACCGTCCTCCAAGCCCCCCCCCCCCACGCTGTTCCCCTCTGAGGCTCACACCAGTTGAATCACAACCCCGAAGCAGTCAGGCTCGGGAGGCTGTCCTACAAATTCTAGGGTGGAGCATTGGCCCAGAAGCCAGAATCTCTCTCCCTGCCCCATTTCTCCCTGGGTCTAAATCCAGAATCTAGCCAGGATTATGCACATTCCATCAGAAATCAGAGATGATCTTTTTTTTAATTAAAAAAAATTTTTTTTTTTTTACTCTCTCCTCTTCATTCAAATCTGGAAAATTCCTCCAGCTGATGAGTTAGGACTATTAAGAAAACATTGGATTCCCATTAAAGATGGGACTTTGCTTTTTTTTTTTTTCTTTTAAAGCAAAGGGTTTATAAGTTTTCAAATACCCTGGAACAATTGAACAAACTTAGCATGAAAGTGGGCCCTGGGGTGACCCCTGCTGTCTGGGTTTGAGTGGAGAGGGGCTTGGGGTGGAAGCCGGTGGGCCTGGGATCTGGGACTGGAGGAAAAGGGGGGCAACCTTGGGAATAAAAAGGAACTCTTTTCCCTGAGACCCTGTACATCAGAACTAGAAAATGCCAGGCTGGTGTAGTTGCTGGCTGTAAAAAAAAAAAGAAGGGGAGGGGGTTGGGTACCTGTGTGGCAGGCATGTCCCACATCATACCTCCTGTATTCCTCACAGGAAGCCTGCCAGGGAGGCGTCATTGCCCTCTTTGTGAACAGGAGGAAACTGGGGCCAGAGAGGCAGAAGGACGTGCCCTGGAGCCCCTGAGAATCTGCCCAAACCCATCTCCCCCTGCAGCCTCCCCACCCTGAGATTAAACATGCAGGATACACTCTGGGCGGTGCCTGGTTTCTAGCACTTTCTTCTCCTCCTCTGCAGAGGGGGCTTGTTGGGGCTCAGGCCTCCAAGGAGAGAAATAAATATCAGCTTGGGGGTGCTTCACGCTCACATTACTTGAAGTGGAGGTGGTGCTTTGGGGAGCGGGTAATTGCTCTCCAAATAGGTAGGTGTAAGTCCTACTTCTGCCAGCAGGGGGCCTGTGTTTTCCCCCACAAGCTCTCCTCGCGGATGGAACAGATTATCTTTATTTTCGTGCCAGCCTGATGGATGAAACATATACCCTGGCTTAAAAGAAAACAACAAAAAACACTGTTTTTCCGTTAAAAAGTAACACATCCTCATTAAACACATTAGGAAGTAGCAATAACTGCTGTGCTCCCAGTGCATCGAACAGGTGGTCCATGAATATCTGTTGAATAAGTGAATAGGACGAGCGCCTAACGTTCACCACCAACAAGAAACAGTTCTGTCAACGTTTCGGTGTCTGTTTTTCTGTGAGTGTTTTTTTCCACCACAGAGTTGAGGTTTGTTCACGTTCATTATGGTCTCCTGGGCAGACAGTTTTTATCCTGTTTCTTTCACTTCACATCATTCGATACAGGCTTCCCTCTTCCAGGTAACATTTTAAACTTCTCAATAATATCCTTGTAAGTGTGTGAACCACAGTTCATTGGAATCTTCTGTTGTCGGACTTTCAAGTTGTGTTCAATTTTTCTCTTTATAAATGATGGGGCTGATATCTTTATGCAGAGAGCTGCTTGCAGATTTTAGCTTATTTCTTAAGGAGAGAGTCTCAGAAGAAAGATGAACTTGGTCAAAGGTTTTTTTTAAAAATCTGATTTCATATTTCTTAAGTATGATGCACCTTATGAAACAACTTTACATCTATTGGGAAACCTGGTTAAGTTCTTTTTTTTAATATTTTTTTAAAAATGACTTGTTCTGAACAATATCGCCTGCTTTCAGAAAACAGCAGCGGATATGAAAGGAGATTTGTTCCCTTGAGCTCTTAGGAGGAGATCTGGCTCAGGAAACAGACACATCAGATTCCTGCGTTTATCTGATGGTTGCCATGGGAACAAGTCGTGTAACAGAACGCTCTGGTTAAAGCATTGATCAATCAGGGAGGGGCAAGATTGAAACAAATTAGCTGCTGTCTGAGGGCCCCAGAGATAACAGCAATAACACGGAACGTTCTGTCTGTCCCCCTCCTGCGACTGGGGGCCCAGGCAGGCGGAGGCAGGGCTGGGATGCAGGGCAGAGAACGGAGTCATATCAGGCTGAGGAAAACTGTTTCCCAGAGCAGATACTGGGGCAAGAGGGGCCTGAGACAAGACTGGGGACCTGGACTCCCAGGGGCAGGGGGACAGAAGGCTGTGGGGAAGAAGCTGGGATAGACCCCGGGGTCTGGGCACCGCCAGTCCAGAGAGGAGCTGTGAGTCCCTGCAGGCACACTGCCGCTCTGGTCCCAGCCCCAGCTCTCTGCAGGAGTGATGGGGCTCCAGCAGTGAACCCAACCTCGCGTGTGCTCAAGGGCCTCCCCGCCAGGGCATGTCTGAGTATCTGTGCCCTGGCCTGGGCAGGCAGCGGAGACCCAAGTGGATGGAGCATGACCCTGGGGTCAGCTCACAGCTCGGCCACTTGGCAGGCTCCTCACCTGTAACGTGTTAGGGTAATGAAGCCTTAGATTCGGGCCTGGGGAATAATGAGGACTCGATGGCCGTTGCTATGACAATAACCCGACTGAGGGGCAGAGTCTGATGGGGTGAGGGAAGGTACTCACCAAGTACTGAATCCTGAAGTTTGACGCAGGGGAGGGTCAACACGGGGAGGAGGCCGTGTCCAAGGACCAAAGAGCAGCATGGCATTGGGCTGGGGTTCCTCATCGAGCAAGGCCAGGACAAGGTGAGGGGATTAGGGACCACCCGTGGCTGCGCCTGGTCACCTCCGACCCCGCGGGAGTGGGGGGGCGGCTGATTCAAGGGGCAGTGCCCATCCCTAAAGAGCTGGGATGACTAGCCGAGAAGCTGAATCACAGACAAGCTGGGTTTTTCCAGCACGCCAGACTGGGTGAAGAGGAAGGGGGGGTGCTTCAGGACCTGTCACAGGCTGTCTCTTGGGGACTGCCCAACATGGTTGGGGGCTGGGTGGGAGGCCCTCCCCAAATGGGTGTAAGTTGGGACACACTTATTAGAAGGCAATTGAGCAACATGCATCCCAAACCTGAAACTGTCCCAACTTTTGGTTCAGTAGTTTGACTTCTGGAAATCTTTCCTGGGGAAATAGTCCTAAACCCAAAGATGCACTCTGCAGCATTATTCATAGCAGGAGCTGGAAACAACCTCCCTGCCCCACATCACGCATGGCTTAAGTCAATAATGATTCATTTTCTTTAATTCAGGTGTCTGCCAAAGGTGCAGCCATTGACCCCGTGCCCTGTGTTTTGGGCATGGGTGGGGGGTATTCCCTCCTTCTTCTGGGAACCAGAAGAACCTGGGCTGCCCTTGGAGTGGTCAAGACCAGGCTCAGACCCTGGACTTGGCAAAACTTGGTTCTAACTCCTACAACCACTTCCTTGCTGTTGAGTTGGGCAAGTACTGAAGCCCTACTGTGCCTCGGTCGTCTCATCTGTCAGATGGGCAGAGGGAAATGTGCCTACTGCATTTGAAGTAGTATCTGGCTGGATGCCTGTCACTGAGTCAGCCCTCGGGAAATAATAACCTTACCCTATTTATACCATGTCTGTGTGCCTGGAACAGGCACTGGGAGGCCAGCCTGGGAACCTAAATGCCACCGAGACCACATGGCAGGAGGAGAAGAGAACAGCCTTTGGCGCCCAGCACAGCTGGGCTGGAATTCCGGGCCCACCAGATTCTGGCTGTGTGACCTTAGCCAGTCGCTTAACATCTCTGAACTTCACTTTGCTCACGTGTCAAGTGGGGATAAAAGCTCCTTCCTCTCCCCGGTGCTGGAGCGGGGGATTAGTGCTGATAGCGCAGCAAGGAGCCCTGCCCCAGCCTGACGCAAGCAGGAGCTGTATTTTTCCCTTAGGGGAGCAGGCTTTTCCAGCACCAAACACCCCACTCCTAATAGATTTGTGCCGCGGAATTCATGCGTGACTCGGGGGGCTGTCTGCCAGAGCGGATTAACTGCTTCTGGGAAGAGTGGCAGGGGCGCCGGGGATGGGCAGCTCGCGCGGCGCCTCGCGCGGCCGGCAGGGGGCAGGATGTCCCCGCGAGCCGACCATGTCCTCGCGTCACCCCGCCGCCTCCAGCCCCCGCGCCTCATTAAAGGGCCACGAGGCTTATTTCTGCGGAGGGAGCGCCGGGCGGCCCTTCCCCGGGGAGCCCTCTCCATCAACGCCGGGCCCCATAATTTACATTTCATCTGTGAGCGGTTTAATGTTTAATTTAAAAAACGGAATGATTCATTACCATATTAATAAACAATAACATTTATTATTCTCCTAATGAGTGTCCAACATACAAAGGCAATTACATGTCATATATTTTCTCATAAATTGAGACAGCGGAGCGTTAATTACAGAGATTCACGCACGGACCATGTTCTGATCGGGGGGTCCTGATCCCGTCTCTGTCTCTGTCTGGATCAGCTGCTACCCCGGCTTCTACAGCTCCGGCACTCAGGGGAGAGGGGGTGGGTCCGCTGACCCCGCTCTAGTTTCCCCAGGACCCCAAGCCTCAGACCCCAGAGGTGTTACCGTTCAGCTACCTGGAATCCCTCAGGGACAGGGCCATTGTCCCCCCTCCTCCAACCTTCGGTGCCCTCCTCCTCCCCCGCGCTAGCCTGGGGGTTTTAAGAAACGTCTCCCCCAGGCCTGGGAGAGCCAGGAAGGATGTGCCCTCCCCACTTCATACCCCCACCCCTGGTTCATTCCTTCCTTCCACCCTACCAATGAGGGTTGGGGGGGGTGTGAGGGTCCTTACTGCACACATGGGGAAACTGAGTCTTGGCCAGAGGAGCTCCGTGACCTGCAGCCGGTGCGGCGCAGAGCCCCGGAGTCAGCTCCACACTGTCTGTTGGCTCCAGCGCTGGTTCTTGCTTCTGCCCCAGCAGGTTGGAGCAGGCCCTGTGCAGGCAGAGGCGTGAGGGCAGTGGGGGTCTGGACAGATGCAGAGCCAGCCAACGCCCCTGGCTGGCTCACTATGGCTTGGCTTCTTCCCCAGTCAGCAAAGTTGTTCTTGTGCATTGTAGAAAATGTGAAAGGTTGAAAAAGAAAGAAAGAAAGAAAAATATATATAGATAGATAGAGAGAGAGAGAGAGACAGCAAAGTAGACAAGGAAGCAAGTCTCCATAATCCCATCCCTAGAAGCAGCCTAGGTCCTGGAGGGCTTATGCGTCCTGACATTTGAAAGAGCAAGGCTCCTAGATGAACTGCTGGGAAGAGGGGGGCACATCTCTCCCCCCTCCCCTGACCTTAGACACCCACCCCCTTCTGGGAGGGCAGGGGCTTCCCTGCTTGGCCCCCAAGAAAAGAAGGTCAGAGATGGAGGCCCACTCAGGCCACCCCTCTGGTCTGGACCCCATGCGGATAATATGGAAAACTACCAGGAAGTTCCCTCACCTAGAGATCACCAGGCATTTGAGTATGTGTCCATCTGGGACTTGTTCCATGCAAATGCTCCAAAACGGGCTCTTTCCCCCCCGTAGAAGAGCTCCACACGCACTTTCCTATCTTGATTTTTTTCACTGTTTCATTACAAGCATTTCCCCATGTCATAGGGCCAGTCTCCAAATGCCTGCATTTGCTCAGCTGCATACTATTCCACCGGAGTGCTGTGCCCGGCTGAGTTCCGTTATCCAGATGATCTTTCCCTTTTGCAATGATACTAGAACCACCATCCTTGTATGTAAGGATTCCTCTGTGGGAATCCTTGATTACCTCCTTAGGGTCCATTCCAAGGTGTGGCATTACTGGGTCAGAGAGCACGAGTGCCTTGAAGGCTGCTGGCTCCCTCTGCCAGCATGCCTGCCAGCAGGGCACACGCAAATGCACGCTCCCAGCGCAGGCCTGGCAGGGGCCGTCTCACAACAGTGCCCTTGGTGCCCTTGCCAAAGCTGACATTACCTTCTGACGAGCTCTTTGCGGCACACACTGTTTTCAAGGTGCTGCCATACTTGTCCTTTCGCTGGCTTATCCTGGGGATCTGGAAATGTAGGCAGGCTGGTCATGCTCTCACTGTTTCATACATGGAGAGACCAAGACCATTGAGGTCAGGTACATTTGGCTCAGAAGATTTTAGAGTGTCTTTTAGATCTCAGGGACCATTAAAGCCTCCTTGTGTTTCAGATGATGGTGAAAGACTGAGATGTGACAGGGAGAGCACTGTCTCTGGAGTCTGCCTCTCCACCTACCCACCCACCCCTCCACCCACCCATGCATCCATCCACCAATCCACTTAACCATCCACCCATCCACTCATTCATCTATCCATCCAACCATTCATCTACCCATCTATCCACTTACCTGCCCACCCACCCATCTACTCATTCATTCATCCATCCATCCATCCACTAATCCATCCATCCATCCATCCACTTACCTGCCCATCCACCCAGCTACTCATCCATTCATCCACTCACTAACCCACCCATCCATCTACCCATCTATCCACTTACCCACCTATCCACCCATCTACTCATCCATCCATCCATTCATCCACTAACTACCCATCCATCTGTCCATCCACTCATCCATCCACCCATCTATCTACTTACCCACCCATCCACTCATCCATCCATTCATTCATCCACTAACCACCCATCCATCCATCCATCTACTCATTCATCCATCCATCCATCTCCATTCATCCATCCATCCATCCATCCATCCATCCATCCACTCATCCATCCATCTATTCATCCACTAACTACCCATCCATCTATTCATCCACTCATCCATCCATCCATCCACGCATCCACTCATCCATCCATCTATCCATCCACTAACCACCCATCCATCTATCCATCCACTCATCCATCCATCCATCCATCCATCCATCCATCCACTCATCTATTCAATAAATATTTACTGAGAAGCAGCTCTGATTCAGGCCCAGGTGCAGGGAATTTTGCATGAATGGCTCTGGCTCTTGCAGGGAAGGCGGACCGTAAAGAAATGACCACAGGTGTGATGACTTATCTGCAAGGTGAGGGTTAGGCTGTTAGAGTAGCATACGATAGAGAAGCCAGAGCTAGTTGGGCAGGGGTCAGGGGACTCTTCCTGAGGAGGATGAATCCTGGCCCCCCACTGACACTCTACATGTGACCTTGGGTGAGTCCCCCTGTCTCCCACCCTGCTTCCTACTCTGAGCCATGGAGGAGACAAGACTCAGCTTACCTGTGGGCTGGGAGGTCGGCTGGTCATGACAATGAGGATGAAGGGGCAGGTCAGGGACTGAGTGGGAGGTACAGCTCTCTGGCTGACATTTGCGTGCTGGTTATTCTTGAAGCGTTAGCGAGAACTAACTAGGGGTCAGTGCCAGGTGCCATCTGGCTCAGTTCACACAGAGCCACGTGCTCTCCATTATTATTGTGATTATTACTACTACTACCTTCTGAATTTTTATCAGGGGCCAGGCCTTATGCTGTCATGTATTGATTCATTAACCGTCCACCAGCCCAGTCAGATAGGTGGAAATTGCTGTGCCCACTTTAAAAACGAGACCACTGAGGCACACAGTGGTGATGTAACTTGCCCAGGGTCATGCGGCCAGGAGGTGGGGATCTGGAATTCGAACTAGGCAGCCCAACACCAGAACCTATGCTTTTGACCCTATAGTGATACGTGCATGTCTTCTTCTTGTTCTTATTGCAGGAACGTACATTTTACAGATGAGTAAACCTGACTTGCCCAGGGACCCAGTGAATAATTCAGGCCTGTGGGACCCCCAGCCTGGCAGTTTTCAGGCCCTACTGCCATGAGTCCCTGGAATCGCACCTGTGGGACCTCCCTCCCTCCTTCCAGTGTGAGTTGTTTCTCCTTACTCCACAGGCACTGGAGTCTGCCAAACACACCCTGAACCCGTGAGGGGAGGAGGGCGAGCTCAGACAGACTCACGGACAGAGCTTGAACTGTGTGGTTTTGTACAAGCATCTCACCCTCTCTGAGCCTCCCATTCCTGAGGGTGATCCAGGGAAACCGTGGATGTGAAAGAAAGCTATGAGCGGGAAAGTGCCAGGAACATCAATTGAAATTGTCATTCGTTCGTTCAATGAACATATATTCTTCCAGGCCCCTTATGGCACTGGGGTTCCAGCAGTGAATAAGGTCAGGACCATAACCTCAGGGCACTGACCATCTAGAGAGGGAGGCGAACAGTGATTGACCAGATAAACAAATCATTACCTAATACAATGTGAGGACTAAGTAGTATGAAGAAAATCGGGGAGTGGGGAGGGGGACCGAGAATAATGGGAAGGGAGGTCCCAACTGAGCCGAAGAGGTGATGTTTAAACAGAATGAATAGAGGGGGCAAGTCACCTGACTGTCTCGGGAGACAACATTCCAGGCAAGGAACGGGAAGTGCAAAGGCCTTGAGGCAGGTATTACTTAGTGAGTTTGAGGACCACTGAAGAGGCCAAGGAGGCTGGTGGAGGGGACACAGAGTGGTAGGAGATGAGGTCAGGGTGGGGTTGGGGGCTGGATCTATTGCCCTCTCAGCCCAGAACTATCTTTCTAAACCACCCATTTGACCAGATGCCTCCCTGCCTAGTACCATCCATGGCTCCCTGCTGCCCCTGTTACCAGACAGGTCCTCAAGGCCCTTGCACTTTCTCCAGCCCCTGCTCTCACCACACTTGGCTGCTCACTTATGCTCTGGCCAAACTTCCTGGAGTCCCCACGCCCCACTGCCCCACAAGCACCCAGCCTCTTCCTGCTTCCAACACTGCTATTCCCTCTGTCCCCTCCACCTGGAACGCACCACCCCCGCCCCACCTTCTTCTACCTGGCTCTGAGCGTGCCATCTGTGTGACCAGGGCAAGGGACTTCTCCTCCCCAAACCCTAGCTTCCCCATCTGTAAAATGAGGGTAATAATCATTGTACCTGCCTCACAGGTGCTGGGAGGCATGAATGAAGTGATGTACCTGGTTTGGGTAGTACAGTGCCTGGCACACGTGACTAATAAATATTAATTTACAAGAAAACAGAGCTCAGGTGTCGCTTCTTTCCAGAAGCCCTCCATGGCTGCCTGAGGCCCTCTGTGGAGCCCCTGAGGCCCTCTGTGGAGTGTTTTTCACACTTCATGTCACTGTCTGGTTGATTTTCATCCCAGGAGCAACCTGAGGGCTGTGCCTGATTCTCTCAGGCGTGCCCTGGGTTTGGCACACAGTAGGGTAAGAGAAAGAGTAATACAGATAGCTGAGTGCCCTGTCCTCAGAAGTAGACAGGCTGTGCTTCCACTCCCCTGATTCTCTCAAATCCCCCAGGGCAGAGATCTTATCCCTCTATGCCCATGAGGATGCTGGGGTCCCGAAGGGGTAGAGAACAGGCCCACCAGCTTGCAGCCAAGGGTCTCTCTCTCTTTTTTTTTTTTTTT